TATATTCGTGCCAAAAAACAATAGTTGGAAAAAATTTTGTTTTAATCTAGCTCAATTCTAACCCATAGTTAATTTAATACAACGAGTCACAACCCTTTTGGCGCCGCTTTTATATGTATAATAAAAATGTATATTATATGAGACCCCAAGAGCTGAAAGGTTCTTCTGTTTTATAGTTCAGACTGTAATCAGTGATGTATTGGGTTTAATGATGTAATGAAATAATGTGTTGACATAACAGTAAGCCCAAAAAAGCATTGATTACCGTCTGAACTATAATGCAGAAGAACCTTTCAGCTCTTAGAGTCTCATATACTGTAATAGTTTTTTAAACAACAATAATGTTATTAAAACACTATTCTAAACAAATACTGTTTAACATAATCTATAAATTGTACACTAAACTATTGCAATACAAATATAAAACTCACAAAATGTTATTCAATTTCTTTGACTATCAACTGATTGTGTAGTAATATAGTGGCATATGTTTCGTATGAATTCTGTTATTCATGTATATCATTTACTAACTTATTAAATGTAACAGGTATTTCATAACTACATAGAAACCACTAATAACCAGAATATCACATAATAATAAGCACATTTAGTTGAAATTCTTATTTTTACAAATTTCATTTAATTGGTTTGTTTCAACCGGTGAAGTGAGACCGCGTACTAAAGCCATCACAATATCGAAACAAATTCAATGAAAAAATTATTATATATTAATAATTAATTTTAAATTTATATTAAAAATAATTTTATTCTCATAATACAAGATATTTAAATTGTCTACATCTTATTACTATCGACATAAAAACTTTGTACAGTTGACAGTCAGACAGTTGTAAACCCTCTAAATCCTTTTGCCCTGATATTATTGGTAATTTCAACACAACAAATATCCAAAATATATAGCATTAATGTAGTGAATTTATCAAAAACAATCAATCAATCAACAATATTTTTATTAGACAATAACGTTGAAATTGATTAATATATCAATCATTCAAATTATTTCTGATTATTTTGTAGTATAAATGGAAATAGCTTAGATGGTTTTTAAAACAAATATTGAATAAATAAATTGTTTATTTGATATATATAATTGTTATAATAAGTTTTATTTTATTTTATAAGTTAAAATGAATTTTATTACATTTGAAATATTTTTGGCATTATCAGTTTGTAAGTTTTATTTACTACATACTTGAGCTAATTCATATAAAACATTAAATATTTAAAATCTTATAAGGTATAGTTAAAATATATGTACAGTACGTGGATTATTATATGAATTTACTATATTGTTAAAAATATTTAAGTTATTAATAAGATTATTAAATATTTTTGTTTGAATAATTATTTTAACATACTTGAATTATTTAATCAACATATTTATTTTATAATTTTTAATCACATTAAATACCTTATTAAAGAAATATTTCTAATTTGTAAAATACGTTCATGCTGAATCAAGTTGCGCTGATGGGTGGAAACCATATGAATATGAAAAATGTTTCAAAGTTTTGCCTGATGCATTACAAACTTATGATAACACATTGGACTTATGCCACAAGCAATCGGATGGCGCGACACCACTGACCATACACTCACAACAGGAACAGGACTTCCTGTCAGACCTATTATTCACGAAATATAAAATCCTTGACAATGTATGGATTGGAGCTAAGGTAAATAACAAGAAAGTGACGTGGGTAGATGGGTCCAAGGATGACTACACTAATTGGGAATCGGGTGAACCTTCAAATGTAACCAATGATTGTGTGGAAATGGAGTCTGCAATTCCAAATACTGGAAAATGGGTAGATGTACCATGCCTTAAAAGGAACATAGTTGTCTGTCAAACAACTCAATGGTCCCTGGACCAAATTAAGCATATGATCGATGACTTGCGGGCAACCGTACTTGATTTGAGCCAAAACACTGTCCCTATTGGTTACATACACATCCAATTACCGAACCAACCTGAACCTAAAACTCTATGGCCTAAAATGGACTGGGACAATATTACACCCTCGTATGCCGGACTATTTTTTAGGGCTGAGGGTGGAAATAGTACGAAGTTTAATGAAGCTATTCAGGAACAAGATTCACCAAGATTAGTTATGGTCGATAATTTGGGCAATAAGAAAAATTACACGTCAGATTGGGTATCACTCACACCTGGCATTTATAGCAATGCTTTGATGACTGGGGACTATGGAACCCAAAGTGGACTTACATTTTATCTAAACTTTTTGGTTTCCTTGGCTGAAGTGAGACCTCGTAATCAAGCCATCAGAATATGGACACGAATTCATTGAATATATTATTATTATAATTATAAATAAATTTCAATAAAAAATACTTAATAATTTTGCGATATGCTTGTTTCATAGAATATAATATAAATACTATTCTCTCTCGATAAAAGATCAAAAGTAAAATTTGTTAATATAAAGCATAGACGTCCAAAATATAAGTAGCATGTTAAATTAGTAATGCTATTCATATGGCAATGTGACCGCTGTGGTGCATATATGTAATCTATGATATAAAGTATACAATCCTTATAACAAAGTATCATGTTACAGTATATAAATAAGTATAAAACATTTAAATGTGAAAAAACATAAGATTAACTAAATCGTTGGCTAACCCCTCGATAACTTATTTGTTAATTGATGGAAAGCCGGCTATTTTGTTAACCATGCTCATATTTGGTGAGGGGCCGGACAGGATGATGCATGTGCCCTCATATACTAAAAACCGTATTAATTATGTACGGTGGTATTTAAAATTAAAATTAATTTAATTCAAAAGTTTTAAAGTTTATAACAATTATAAAGTACGTAGATTATTTTTTAATATCAATTTATATTAGTACATTTAAAAATAAAACTCTTATAATTTATCAAATATTGATTAACAACCGTTTATATTATTAATCTGTGTTAATTAATAGTAATTATCATTAATTACCTATAATTGTTTTCCAACTTAAATGTGAAATTAATAATCTTTTAAGATAAGCTCATAATTAAGTGAAATAAATAAATATTATTAAAAAGTTATATTTACATTACTTGTTCATAACTTGTTTATATTGTTGTTATTTTAATTGTTATATTTTAAAGTGGGTGAAATTGATAATTAAACACTTGAACTTGTGGAATTTAATTTATCATTTATACATCAATTTTATTAAGTAAATAATGCACTTAATTAAATATAATTTCATAATTTAGATAAACATTATGTATAAATAAGAATAATTTTCCAAGGTATAATTAAGAAATATTCATTTAAAATACATTAATAAAATTATTACAAATACTATTTTAAATATGAATTATATTATTCCATTAACCTTATACTTGTTTATTTGTGGTAAGTAAAATTCTGTTAAATTAAAATTCATATGAAATAATTAATTTAAATAAATTTTTAATAGAAATACAAATATCACAGTAAGCTAGCTTTATTACATTTTTAACTGTGAATAATTTATTTACAAAATACTAGACCTAATTTATATAAAACATAAGGTATTCAAAATTTATAAAAGATAGTTAATAACTATGTATAATTTATATGTGAAATATTAATATAATTTACTATTTATATTATAAAAACTTTTTAACTTATCAATAGAATTAATAAATATTTTACTTTGTATAATTATTTTAGCATACTCGAGTTATTTAGTGGACATAATTATTTTACAATTTTTAATCATTTTAATTATCTTAATAACCTTTTCAATTAGCAAAATACGTTCAAGCTGAATCAAGTTGTGCCGATGGGTGGGAAGCATATAAATCTGAAAAATGCTTCAAAATTATACCTGATACATTACTAAGTTATGATAATGCCCTGGACCTATGCCACAAACAATCCATTGACGCGACACCACTGACCATACATTCACAACAGGAACAGGACTTCTTTTCAGACCTATTGTTCACGAAACATAAAATCGCTGACAATGTGTGGATTGGGGCTAAAGTGAGTAATAAGAAAGTGACCTGGGTAGATGGGTCCAGGGATGAATACACTAATTGGGAAACTGGGGAACCTACCAATGCAACCATTGACTGTGTGGAAATGGAGTCTGCAATTCCTAATACGGGTAAATGGGTAGATGTACCTTGCGTCAAAAAGAACCAGGTTGTTTGTCAAACTATCCAATGGTCCCTGGATCAAATTAAGCATATGATCGATGAATTAAAGGCAAACCAGACAAATTAAGAGCAAACCGTACTAGATTTGAGCAAAAATACTGTTCCCATTGGTTTCATATACGTGCAATTACCAGGACAACCTGAACCGAAAACATTGTGGCCAAAAATGGACTGGGACAATATTACGCCTACTTACGCGGGGCTATTTTTCAGGGCCGAGGGCGGGAATAGTACAAAGTTTAATGAAAAAATTCAGGAACAAGATTCACCAAGATTAGTGATGGTCGATTTTCATGTAACTACCAAAAACAGCACTCAATGGGCACCAATTACCCCGGGTGTATATAGTAATGACGTATATGCTGGCAATAATGGCGGAACGATAGATATATATCATAATTTTTTGGTTTCCACGGCTGAAGTGAGACCTCGTAATCAAGCCATCAGAATATGGATACGAATTCAATGATTATATATTTTTTCTGAGCATTGATTTTCCTATTTATAGAGAAATGCATAAAACTGAGTTAAATGCTAATTATTATTGTAAGATATCTTTTAAAAAACAATCCAGGTGCTAATAAGAGTGAACTAAATTTCTGATTGGTGTATATTTAATTAATATAATAATTAATTTTAAAAATTATTTATATATAATTTTGTTCTAAAAATTTTTATATCATATTATTATATAACACAAGAAAAATGTTATCTACGTCAACAACATAGTATTAATATTGTTGTGTTTAAGGTTTTATAGAGTTTAAACTAAATATTTAATAAAATCTATAAATAGTGCATAAAACAATTGCAAAACAAATATAAAACTTATAAAATGATATTCAATGCCATTGACTATCAGCTGATTGTGGTTTAGTTGCATATGTTTTGTATAATATACTATAAATTCTGATATACATGTATATAATTTACTTCTAAATGTGACAGGTATTTCATAACCACATAAAAACCACTAATAACCAGAATATCACTTAATAAGCACTTTTAGTTCAAATTCTTGTCACAAAGATAATAGTCAACTAAAACACAAAAATCCCTAACATTAAACTCAAATAAATGTCGAAATTCATAGGAAATTAGAGTTAATTAGCAAGCAAGTATTTGTAAAATTAGGACAATATTATAAGGATTTTGAGTTTAGTTTAAGATTATGTCAATTAATAATAATTAAAATTCTTGTAAACAATAAACATGTTTAGGTAGAGAGAGAGAGAGAGAGAGAGAGAGAGAGAGAGAGAGCATATGATTTAGTAAATCACTTGAGCTCTCAATCTATAGAAACTTATGGAAAATCATAGAAAAAGTAATTTTCCACAGAATTTCTCATAAGACTTATGTTTTATGTATTATTAAAACGAGTTATTAATTGTGAGATAAACATACAGTGAATGAGTTTTATTGTGTGTTTTTGGTATATTTTATAAACACTTCAATGTAATAAATATTTCGATAAAATATGCAATTATTTACTAATACTTGAAAATAAAACAAATATCAAATAAAAGTTTTTACACAATAAGTAATTTCTAGAAATTCATAAAACTTTTTAAATAACCTCTACTTATAGATACCTTAACCTCTACCCCACCTATTGATAAAATAATATGTGCTAGTATAGTTACAATACTATGTAATCATAACTACAAACCACATTAATGTTACAAAAACTTTGCCAATAAATAAAAATAAAAATCTAAAAACTTTCCATAAGTTTACGTTAAAAATAAATTTATTAATTACTCAATAAATATGCAGTTTATATGAATGAAAAACTTCATAAAAATCAAAGTTTTGTATTAAAATATGTGAACTACAAAAAACCTCCCGGTGTGTTTACATAAGGGAACTACACTACAAGTCATAAGACATTTTTTATTATACATACTTCACAATCAGATTATAAACACTTCGCTATAAATCGTTAATAAAAATTATTGCATTGAATTGAATGAAGACTTTGTAATCACTACTGATTTTATTTGCTATTCAAGCATATGATGTGACACATCGACACTTGTAGGGACTGGTAGGCAACCAAACCATATATAAGGCACCGGTAGCTCCGGTAAGAGCTTTCTGTTTGAATTGAATGCAAAATTCAAAAGTATTATAACTTTTTATATAAAAATAATTTTAGCGAAAATATCATTGAATTTCTCATTTTATGATTAAAAACAGGTTTTGATATAATTTTGTGTTATATATGAAAATATTTTCATTTATAATTAATGCCATAATAATTGAAAAACATAACAAAAAAGTTTTGAAACATATTTCTAGGCATTTATATAGCAATTAAAAAATAATAGTAATTAAAATCCTTTGTTCAAATAAATTATTACTATTATTATATTAAATAAAATAAAAAAAATTGTTTACAAATAATACAAGTTTTTACTCAAAAAATAGACATTTTTTGTTTGAAATAATAATTATTTATAAAAATGATTCGCTTATGGATTGTATCCGTAATGATAGCCACAAATGGCTTATACCTGGCGTACGAGTCGGTCGATACCCTGATGACTGATCCCTTAAAGTAAGTATAGATCATAAAACTAAATCAAATACTACCTTTCACCTAATAGTGAGTATAATAAACCCAATTATATTTAAATCACACAATTTATTTCAACAAACTGTTAAACAACTCATTTTATACGGCAATCAGTGTTTACTTAATGATTCACTGAATATATTGCACCAAAAATGTGTTTAAACACAGTTATGGGTAAGTGTTTTGTAACATACAGTACTTGTTATCAAACATTTATTAAAAAAATAAAATATTTTTAGTATTTTTAGTTTAATATTACGTCAGAATATTCTGGCGTTTATTAGTAGTTAATACTGCTATCTATTTATTATTAATTTAATTATTTATACTAGCTAATATTTTAATAATTTATACTCTCTCTCTCTCTCTCTCTCTCTCTCTCTCAATGTTATAAACAGTGAACTAAAAATACTGAATAACTGTCCTATCAGTCCATATACCCTGTGCCCTATGCTAGCGTATGCAACCATATTCAATATAAAACTGTATTATAAATAATTTAGATTAGATAACAAGGTTAGTTTAGTTGCCATAGTATAATGATCAGCCATTTATGAGTTTATGTCCTGATGTTTATAAATAGCAACAATGAATCACATCCTAACCCCATATGTGGACAGGTGTATGAATCAGGTATGCTTATCAGTGGATACCATTCCCGTGCATTTCACTAATTGTATCAAATATCTAACCAAAAGAACTTATAAATCAATTTCTATTTCAACTGAAATATTGCTTATTATATCAGATATGAACGACTATTTCAAGCGATAATCATATAAAAAAGTGTAAAAACTTAGCAAATGTGGCATAAATTTATCAAAATATTAAGCAATTCTCGGATCAAAAGTCATGTCATATTCACTAATAGTTACAAAAAATACTTTTCAAAACTAGTTATCAATAAATCAAATGAAATGAAAATCATTTTTTCNTTAATTATATTTTAAAAAGGATTCAAATACAAATATTGAAAACTTTTGTTCAATTGATTGAACAATTACTTTATGAATATATAAATGACAAATGAATAGAAATAATGCAAAATATTTGCTCATTATTTAGTTAAATTTTAATTAGCTTCAAATCAAAATCAAGTCCTAACTTTTGTTGAGAGAGAGAGAGAGAGAGAGAGAGAGCTCCTATACCTCATCGAAATACACCCGAACAGTACCGACAGCCGTGGCGCCGACCGCTGCCATAGAAAAGTAGCCGTACCTCCAGTTCCCCGAATAGACTACTCTCTCATTAATCGTAAACAACTGGGGAAACACCTGAACGACACCGGGATTTACGCTGAGTAGGTGTCCCGCAAAATGTCGCCTAAAGTCGACTGACCACTGAGCGGGTGAGTGGAACCGGTGGTAATCACCCGGGGATAGGTATATCACACATGAGTATAGGGCTGTCTGGTTGGCACCGGTATTGTGCTGTAGTAGGTTTTGTTGATATTCATAGAGGGTTGGGGTAGGGGTTTGGTAGGTATTCTGTGGGCCCAGGAATTTGCTTAAGGAGTACGTAATGCCCTTCACTTGCTCTACCCGTCCATTGGTTATGCGGCCGAAGTGTAGTACCGTTCCGTCGGCAGGACTGACCTATAGGTATAGGTATTGAAAATATTTTTAATTTAAACGTTTTGATAGTTTTTCTGAGTAAATGTGTTTTTAACAGTTTATAAATTTAGGTTTTAATTTTTAATTTTACCTAGTTATATTACTTGTAACTTATTAGCTATTACTTTATAATATCTTAGATACTTTGCTAAATTGTATTGTCATTTTAAATTAAATAATTTACTACTGTATCTAGTATATGTTATCATAAAAACATAATAAGTGGTATAAACTTTAAATTAAATAAATTGAAACATATTTCTGATATACTATGTAAGATATGATAAGTAAAAACCGTAATTATGTATTTAAATAAAAATATAATGCTAGTAAACAAATATTTATAATTTTAATTGCCCTAGGAACTGATACTAAATATTTTGCTAAATGAATATATTAATGAATAAAACAATTGAATTAATACCACCAACTAATTTATAATTAATTTATGTATTTATTAATTTATTATAAATACTAACTAACTAGCAAGTTTAATACTAGTAAGTATATTTTGAAAATTATGAGTTCACTTACCACACCATTCCTGGGGTCAATAGGTCTGACCCCTGGCCTGAGTTTGCGTCGGAAAAATTGACCCAAATTTGTATAATGCGTTAAATCCTGGTCGAGACACTCGTCTAAATTACAACCAAAACATTTGGCGTAACCATTGATCACCACTTTTCTCATGGGTTTCGGCAAATCGATTGAATTAATTCGGCCCCAAATCCGGGACATTGTCCGCAACGGTAGCAAACAGTACAGAGATATCTGGGAAAGGGAGGCAAAAATATTTTAAAATATAATTTTTAATTTATGATAGATTTATAATAAATTTTAATGATGCTATTTTAGTTACATGTGAATTAATTTTAAATAAATATTAGTAGGCTTTGTTAAAGCACAAACTGTAATAAAGTATTTATTAAAAAAATTATACTAGTAAACAAATATTTATAATAAATTTTATATTGATTTTATATGAATTTTAGAAACTGTAATATAATATTTTGAAATAAAAATTATTGAATAATGTGAAGTGTTGATAGATTAAGTTATGTGGCATGTTAGGTTACGTTTGTTAAGTTAGGTTAGGATGCATAAAATACACCTACTTTAAATTTAATTATGTGAATAATTATAATTTTAAAATAGTTTGTAATAATTTTAAAATAATTATTTTAAACAAATATTTTAATGGAGCTACAGACTCTGTATTAATAACTGAAATACATCAAAACTTACCCAAAACTACAGATTTAGTAACGGTCTAAAACTCTGTTTGAATACTAAAACAAATATCGCTAACTCTCGGTTATCACTGACCACTATTACGGACGTCAGGTATAGGGAATGACAGTAACTTAAGGCCTCCTTATTGAGGGGGTTTGTGGCAAACGTACCCCTCTTTTTAGCTAATATACGCCAATATGAGTCTAAAACAGCCGGGTATAAGTTGTTTAGTATATTAAATGATAAGTATTTTGCTATAAAAACCTTTTGTTATGTGTTTTGTGTCGGAGTTGTCGTCGGATTTGAAGTCCAGAAAACTTGTCGAGTGGTGACTGAGAAGTGAGACCTGGTTTGAGGTGTCTGTCCATATGGATGACTGTTCCCCTCTATTCATACATAAGGATAAAATTTGTATTAGTATTTAAAATCATATTAAGGTATTAATTGTATGGGTCAGGTAGGGAAAGGTATACCTATTATACGACTTATTCATCGGGTAATCAGTGATTATATTTGGAAATATAGACATAAATAAAAACAATGTATTTATAACCAAATGCATGATCGGATAGCACGGGACTACTGGTGTGTATTTGAGCGCAGGTATGCAATAATTATAATAATGATTAAATAGCACTGACATCCCAGTGCTATTGTTCACCGGCTATGCAATCAATGGGTATATTATGTGTGAAATTATATAACAAAAGATAAAACTCTATATAAAACTAATTATCAATGAATGCATCGCTGAGTAGTTTAAGCTTTTTTACTAAAAGTAAAGTAAACTAAATAACTATTGATCAAAACTTTTCATAAAAAACATTGATAATCACTTATACTGTACTGAAAACTAGGCTCTTAACGAATTATAAAACTATTTAAATACGGTTGTTTGCTAAGTTTTTACACTTTTTTATATGATTATCGCTTAAAATAGTCGCTCATATCTGATATAATAAGCAAAATTTCAGTTGAAATAGACATTGATTTATAAGTTCTTTTGGTTAGATATTTGATACAATTAGTGAAATTCACGGGAATGGTATCCACTGATAAGCATACCTGATTCATACACCTGTCCACATATGGGGTTAGGATGTGATTCATTGTTGCTATTTATAAACATCAGGACATACACTCATAAATGGCTGATCATTATACTATGGCAACTAAACTAACCTTGTTATCTAATCTAAATTATTTATAATACACTCTTATATTAAATACATGTGTAGTATTTGTTGCATACGCTAGCATAGGGCACAGGGTATATGGACTGATAGGACAGTTATTCAGTATTTTTAGTTTAATATTACGTCAGAATATTCTGGCATTTATTAGTAGTTAATACTGCTATCTATTTATTATTAATTTAATTATTTCTGCTAGTTAATCTCTCTCTCTCTCTCTCTCTCTC